CACTTCTATTTAATTACAATAATAAGAAAATTTTATTTAACATACATTTTAAGTTTTAATATACAACATTATTAATGGTTCAAAATTTATATCATCACCAGAGATTAACAACTGAGAACTTTTAGTGTATTCTAAATATTTTCAATAAACATTTTAATAAAGATAAAGAGATACTTTACAAGTTACTCATCCTTACAAAGCTGGGTGACCTACTGATGTAATAAATGTAACACCAAATAAAAATAATAGGATTTTAACTAGCAGAGGTGATTATAACAACAGACTAATACAAAAGACAAAACATAATTTACAGATTTTTTCTAAAATGTTCAATCCACAAAATATCTATTTTTTTAAACTATACAGTCTAGAACATTTTAGTTAAAATGATTTTGTAGAATCTGAACAAATGATGCATAGAAAAATGTCCAAAAAATATAAACGTAGTGTTTCAGCTCTTGCCTTTCCAATTAAGTCTGTAAAAGTAATACTGATCTGAAAATATCTAGAAAATTGTAAGCTTATTTTTCCACCATTAGAACTGGCCATTCAACATTAAGTCTTTTTTTTTCCATATAATTAAGCTTTTGTTCTGCTAAGAAAAAACTAGAAACTGATTGCTTGAAAATGAGTTGCATGCCCTTTGTCCTGATTTGTCACCTTTGACCCTTAATTTGATGATGCTGCATATCAACCCATTCTATTTTTAGAAGAATCATGTAAAAGTTATATGCTTAAAATAGTACTTTTTACTGATATAGTAAATGGGTTACAACATTCCTTTTCAGGTAATTTCTACAATGGTTTCATACTAGTACTCATTTCATATAATATAGAGCACAGTAATATTTTGAGCATTGAAAGCCTGGTGTTTGTCCTGTTTCAAACAATAGAAAATTTCCCCAAAATGACAAGTCAGTATCATTATAATTTCAAAATTTATATTCTTATTTTAAAAATTATTTAATGTTTTTAAGTGGAATTTATTTCATGAATGATTTCTAATTTGATTAAGTTTGATAATCACATATTTTGATGTTGGTTTTGATAATGCCAGAATATGAACCTAAATCAAAAACTGCAAATATCAAGTTCATACTCTACCACCTTACAGTAGTGTCAACAAAATTGTAGTTTCTGAGTTAAATCAGTAGTTGCTTAAAATGGTTTTAAAAATCTTGTCATCATTTGCAAGTGGCAGCTTTCAAAGAAACAGAAAACCTCTAGCATTGATCCTATTGATTTTACTGACATTATTCAAAATCAATGCTACACAGTAAATTAATATACTTCAGGGATAACATTTCTCTATCAAAATTTCTGATGATTCCAATTCAACTAGGTGAAAAGCAAAAAAATAAAAATATTTATGAAATACATATGCATACATTTCCTATGGTCATGATGCTATTTGAACCCCTACACTATTTCCGTGTACTGTACAGTTTCCAGTCAGATTTAGCAGTGACCAATATGGCTGTCTTGATTCAGCACTATGGCCAGCGACTTTGTCAAGCATCATTGTGCCAGAGAAATCCAACACAATAATGTACATGTACACAAGCACATGGTGGGCAAGGTTCTCAAAACTGTAAGATTCTGCATTTCATATATTCCAAGACTTATTCATATAAATCAACCTTAAGTATCTGAATGTAAAGAATTTCCATTGTTCTTCTTGGAAAGCTAGAAACTCCTTACTTTGTGGTTCATCAAAAACAGTAGTTATTTGTAAAGAAAATATAGTCCCTTTAAAAGGCAAGAAAATAAGGTACAGGTTCGAAAGCATTTAAACAAGAAAACTGAGTTTATGAGAATTTTAAAATTAGATTCTACTGAAAAATACCAAATAAGAAAACACTTCAGTTGTCCAAAAATTTGTAACACCACTATCTTATCAATAATTTAATTACTTCTAAATTGATTAATCTCTGTATCCCCATGTTCCTTTTTTTTAAATCAACTCAACTCTGGTTTAAGATAAATGTTTATAGATCATTTCCTGACCTGAACTTGCTAATAGTCCCCAAATTTGGTAGCTCTGCCTAGCACTTCACAATTATTTTTAAAGAGACATCAGTCTCACACCTGAAGACTGTTATTCTTACCTGTTTTATTTAATAACTTATTTTTTCCTTTAATCATGGTTTGTAAATTATGACAGCAGTGTATCACAAATCCCTAAAAATGTTACCATATCAGATACCAAGCATTATCAAACTTTCAGGCAGGTAAGATTTGTTAAATCTTCTTTTTCCTCAGAGTAAACAGGAAAAAAAAAAAGCCAACCTTAAATTCACTGTATTTTGGAATTTACATGTGCAACACACTTAAAAATAAGTTATTCTGAAGACTAACTTTGAGCACTACTACTTTAAATCTCAATTTGTTTCCCTTGCAAAGTATAAGATTGACCATATCTTGCCTCACAACCTAGAAGATTTTTTAATTTAAATCTTGACTAATTTCACAATAAACTTCTTACTGTTTCTGAAAGAAGTCTAGCAGAGAACATATTATATAAGATACCATACCGTCTGACAAGGATTAATGAGAATATAATCATTGAATCATTTGGTTCCAGATCTATTAATTGAGACACACCTATAAGCAGTTACCAAAAACCAATATGCTTTACAAACCAATCCAATTACTTAAATTTTTATGACCTTATATTGTCAAGCAAAGATTAGCTGATCCCACTTGCAAAATGGAAAAGTCAAATAAAACTTTTTATTCATTGGTAATATAGCCTCTTCCCCACTAAATGCTAGAAGAGGCCTTGTGTCAGTTTCATTTCTAAATCTCTGTAGGGAATTAGGCACACTGGATTGCTATATTTCATACATGCAATGACAAATAATTTAAGAAGCAAGAACTTTCCATAAGATGGACAAGGGTGTATTATTGAAAATGGAATACTGATTATTACATTCCCTTTGTTAATTTATCATACAAGTCCTCCATAAAATCTATACAAATCCACAGAAGAAAAAAATGGCATAAATTTCATAACAAATTTTATATTGTTGAAATACAAATTGGCATATATTTCCAAGAATTCACCCTTAACTTTTAAAATTTCCCTGAAAGCTTTCATAAAACTGTGATGTTTTGTACTTATTGTTGGACGTAAAAATGTGCTTTTTAAAAAAGCACTTTTACATTATTATCTAAGTAAATATGGTAATAACCTGCACTAAAAAATGAAACATTAAGATTTTCTTGATTAAAAATCACCTTACGTCATATCTTTTCAGCAATGTTGTAAAACATTTTAAATTCATTCTAATACTAGTTGTCAGGTGTATTTTTCACTTCCACAGTATTAGTGACAGAGAAATAAAAAACTACAATAGAACACGAGCACAATTTATTTTTCCCTTGCATTAACAATAATAGGTATAAAAATCTTCAGTGGATTATTTAGGTCCATGAACAGTAATAATACTTGGCAACCTTAAAAACCTAAGTATGAAAACAAATCCACAAAGAACTGAATGGAACTCAAGGAAACACAGGCACCTAAGATTTCATTCAGTGTTACATGAAACAATTCAAAATGGCGGACTTACATTTAAGAAATTTCCGCAATAAGGGCACTAAATACATACTGTTAAATTTTACTCGAAAACACTCAATATTTACCAACGTGCAATTTTTTTAAAAAGTTTTTGGAGTACAAATCCTCATAAAGCACCCGCATCCAATGTTCCAGTCAGTAGTCAGTCAATGCTCCTGCAAACGTATCATTTCTTCTTTGGTCTTTCCTTTTCAAAAACAACATAAATCCAAGTACGTTCTTCTCCGTTCTCTTCAAAATCCTTAATTTTAATTCATGAATTTACATCACCGATACCGAAGCAAAAACGATCCCCGACGCCTGCCTGGTACAAAGCAGCTCTGTTTGCGGAGCGCAAAAGGGAGGTGCGCACGCCCCCTGGCGGCGCGGCCCCGTGCGTCTCAGAGGAGCCCGCACCGGCCGCGAGAACCCGCCGCCGGGACCGCAGCCCGAGCCGCACCACTCCAAGCACCCGAGTCGCCAACGCCCCCGCCCTACCCCGCCCCGCCCTGCCCTGCCCTCCCGCTCCGAGCGGGCTCCGGCCGCCGGCAGCAGCGGCAGCGGCGAGCCCGGGCGGCCGCTCTGGCGACGCAGTGCCCACAGCGGGCGCCGACCCAGCAGCACGGAGCGGGGAAAGAAAGGTGTGAACCCGGAAGTACATCAACTGCCCGCGTCTTAGTGGCAGCACCGGGGCAATAAATCAGGGCCGGCAAAGGAAAGACGCGGCGCGCCGGCTCCCGAACCGCAACTTGCTGCGAGACCTGTCACTTCCCCGCGGTGCCCAGTCCTCGCCCCTCCCTGGCGCTCGCGCCTCCTCTTTTCTTCCTGCTCCTCAGCACAGAGCTCCCCTCGACGTTGCTCACGTGCCAGACTCGGGACCGCGAGCGGCGTCCGCACCCGCACGCACACCCGGCTACGCTCGCACTCGCGCGCCCGCGGGGCCGGCTGCTTACCTCCGGGGCCTCATGGTCGCGTCGCTAGCCTGGGTGTGAGGGGGGAGAGGGTGTGAGGACGTGTGTGGCGTTCAGTCCCGCAGGACGGGGCGGAGGAAGGGGCCTGGAATCTGTCACTTCCTGAGGGAGCCCGGCGGTCGGGAGACCAGTGAGGCGCGCGGCGGGGCCAGGAGGGTCAGCACATTGTGAGCCGGCAAGGGGACGCGAACAGCCGAGCGGCGCGCGGCCACTGGGCGCGGAATCCGCTGTCGCCACCGCTCCGCCGCCGCAGCCCGGCGAGTGGCGGGCGCGGGGAGGAGGGGGCTGCGCCGGGTGGGGGAGCGCGGGGCGCGGCGGCGGCGGCAGCAGGCGGTTCGACTGGAGCTCTGCGTCAGCCGGCGGCACGCGCACACCTGCCCGCCGCCGCTCCCGGCCGCGTCATTGGCTGCCGGCGCCGAGCGCGCGAGATTGAACCTTCCATTCATTCCAGGGCCGGGCGGGCACGCGCGGCCGCTGTGGAGCTTTACAACAGGCGCCCCCGACCCCTCAAGGCGCGTACCCGCGCAGGCCGTGGGCGCGCACGGCTGCTGTCGCCGTTTGTTCTGGTGGAGGCTGCGAGTGCCTGGGCCTGGGACGCCCGGCTCTGCGCGCGGCGTCGGTCCCGGAGGGGAGTTCACATGGCGGTCCCTAGGGCGCGCCTGGAGGTAGGCGGCGCGATGTTACTCCTTGCTCCCCAACCTGACAACCTTGGTGTGTTGAAACTGTAAGAAGGTACCAAAATTATATCTGAAGCCCAGGCCCGTTTTTCTTTTACTACAGATGCTCTGGACATCATTCCTAACAACACAATTCCAGGTAATAATAGTAATGTATTTCAGAATCCAATGAGCATCGTAGACAATGCCAGAAATTTGGGGAACCTAATGTCAGCTGTTCCTTTTCCAAAACAGTAAGATATTCAACGTCAAATTAATAATCATCACTCAAAGAGCCACAAGATCTGTGGCCAAAAATACTGTGACACACATATATTTAGTCTTGGTATTTTGGTATATGTTCCCAAAATATTACTGCTTTCTGTCCTATAATTTTCTACCTGACAATTTTATACTTCTTTCTGATACTTTGGGTAGTTTCTCATTAGACTCTCAGAACTAAACAGTACCGGTCGATCATTATCTGACCAGCTACAAAAATCGAATGTAGGCTTGTAATCTGGACTGTTTTGTAGAACTGTTTTAAGGGATTAAATATTTCAGCAAACTAAAAATGTGTTCAAAAGTTTAAAATACAGGATATAAAAAAAATTAAAAGTGGAAGAGTTTTCAAGTGAAAATACTTTCATTTGAAAATGACTAATAAAGGCCAGTTCACTAGCTACTATTGTATGACTAAAAGGCAAATCAAACCGTTGCTGTGTGATGATGCATATTCTCCCCTCCAATTTATGGATTAGGATCAAGAAACCAGTTTATCTATCAAGGGTAACCACAATTTAGAAAAAAGCATCTCCGGCCTGGAAGTGAGATCATTGTAGGCAAACTGATCAGAAGCAAAATCCTGTTGTGACCCCTCCTAAGAATTTTCCACACTGGCTACCACCTTCAGCAAATTCCGTAGATGGCTGCTCAACTTTCCATTGAGCCAGTGGGGTGAATACTACTTACTTTAAAGATGCCTTTTCACTGGCAAGTATATAAAGTATCTCTTACATTACTTGTTAAGTAGTATAGAGGATTCTTTCAGATACAATTCTTAATTATAATCATTGTATCAATTTACATTATGATTCCAAATATAATTCAGAGGAAAAGGATGTGGACATTGATTACTAGAAATGAAAAACAATAATAATTATATATCAACATCTGAAATGTGATATACTTTGACTTTAAAGCAAAATAGTAATTATTTATGAGTGGGGCTTACAAATGATGCACTTCTAGAATAAACCCTGTTTCTTTTTTAATAGCTATGGGTTTTTTAGGTATCTTGTAAGCCTTTCAGCATTTAAGTGTGATGTATAGTTATGCAATACCTGTTTAAAGTCCTGAGAAGAATTGTAAACAGAAAATAAAAATTAAAACACAACCCATGGTTGGTATCCCAAGCACTCAAGAGGTCATCCTTCTTTTTGATTTCAAACTAGTTATCACCATGCCATCATGCTGTTGTGACAGAAATGAAAAATGGGACATTATAATATTTAATGTATTATTTTATATGAGGTATCTGAAAGGGGAGATGACGAACATTGATAGGCTAAGCATTTATTAAGGAATATGTTGGCATGATTAGAAATGAATGAAAAGCCATAAGAAGAAAGGAATTTATCATTTATGTATGGCTCTTGCAATTTCTTTTTCTTTTTTTTTTTGAGACAGGATTTTCCTCTGTCCCCCAGGCTTGAGTGCAGTAGTGCGGTCTTGGCTCACTACAGCCTCCCCTTCTGAGTTCAAGGGATTCTCGTGCCTCAGCTTCCTGAGTAGCTGGGATCTTCCCTGCACCACCATGCACAAAAATAACAGCTAATTTTTGTATTTTTAGTAGAGACAGGGTTTCACCACGTTGCCAACTCTGGTCTCAAACTCCTGGCCTCAAGCAATCTGCCCATCTGGACTTTGAAAGTGCTGGGGTTACAGGCGTGAGCTACCACACCTCACCTTGGCAATTTCTTTCTAATAGTGAATCCTGGGACCAGGCGCAGTGGTTCACGTCTGTAATCCCAGCACTTTGGGAGGCTGAGGCCGGCAGATTACCAGGTCAGGATATCGACACCATCCTGGCTAACACAGTGAAACCCTGCCTCTATTAAAAATACAAAAAAATCAGCCGGGCATGGTGGCGCATGCCTGTAGTCCCAGCTACTCGGGAGACTGAGGCAGGAGAATTGCTTGAACCTGGGAGGCGGAGGTTGCACTGTGCTGAGATCTCACAACTGCACTCCAGCTTGGCGACAGAGTGAGACTCTGTCCCCCTGCAAGAAAGTGAATCCTCCTACGAGGGGCCATGGTAATTTATTTTGCTTTATTTCCAACCCCCCGTTTCATAGAGACTCTGTCTCACTCTGTTGCCAAGGCTGATGTACAGTAGCACCCTCCTAGCTTACTGCAGCTTCAACCTCCTAGGCTCAAGTGAGAACCCATCTTCAGCCTCCTGAATGGCTGGTACTACAAGCACCTAATTTTTTGTTTGTTTGTTTGTTTTCTGCCTTTTTTGTCTGTAGAGACAGGTTCTTGCTGTGTTGCCCAAGCTATTCTCAAACAGCTTATGGAGGTTGCAGCAAGCCAAGGCGGTGGCCCTGCACCCAGCCTGGGCAAAATGGCCACCACTTCTCTACAAAAAGATATCCTTGTGGTCTTGGCCTCCCAAAGCGCTGGGATTACAGGCATGAACCACCGGCTTGGCTTCCTTTACTTTTAGAATATGTCTTAATAATCATTCCCAAAGGAACAGGCTCTCAGTATCTCCAATGACTATCAGTTCCTGGCATATGATAGTGTGTAGGAAATGTTTTTTAATGTATACATGAGAATGCACCCTGATTATGTTTTCAAGGAAATACTTAGCAAGACATTTAGAAAACATAAAATGCAGCATTTTATATTTCTCTTGCCCTTTATTTTTTATGACTGGAGTATATGCAAGCAAATCCCAGGCATCACGGCATTTTACTTACGAATTACAAGTATTGAGTGTTATAATGTTGAAAAACTAGGCTTTTGTTTTTTAGTCTTGCTCTGTCGCCCACACTGGAGTGCAGTGGCCTCGGCTCACTGCAACCTCTGCCTCCTAGGTTCAAGCGATTCTTCTGCCTCAGCCTCCTGAGTAGCTGGGATTACAGGCGCGCACCACTATGCCTGGCTAATTTTTTGTATTTTTGGTAGAGAGGGGGTTTCACCATGTTGGTCAGGCTGGTCTCGAACTCCTGACTTCGTGATCCACCCGCCTCGGCCTCCCAAAGCGCTGGGATTACAGGCGGGAGCCACTGTGCCCGGCTACTAGGCTCTTTATATACTTATTATACTACATTAAAACAATTTGAAACATAAGAGTTGGCCGGGCGCGATGGCTCCCGCCTGCAATCCTGGCACTTTGGGCGTCCGAGGCGGGTGGATTACTTGAGCCCAGAAGTGGAAGAACAGCCTGGCCAGCATGGTGAAACCGATTCTACAAAAAATTACGCTGGCGCGTGCCTGCACCCCCAGCTGCTCGTACTCAGGAGATAGCCGGGAGGCGGAGGTTGCAACGAGCCGAGACTTCAGTCCTGCACCCCAGCCTGGGCAAAATGGCCACAGCTTTTCTACAAAATATTACCTGAGCGTGGTGGTGCGCGCCCACCGTTGTGGCTGTTGGGGAGGCTGAGGTGGGAGGATCGCGCGCCCGACCGGGAGGCAGAGGTTCTTGTGAGCCAAGATCGCTCCACTGAACTCCAGCTGGGCGACACAGTGAGATCCTATCTCAAAATAGAAAGTAAGACAGAAAAATAGAGTTTAAAAATCAACTGACCTGGCGCGGCGGCTCACGCTTGTAATCCCAGCACCTTCCTTCAGAGGCTGACGTGGCGAGTCGCTTGAACTCAAGAGTTCGAGACTCGTCTGTGCAAAATGGCGACCCGGCTCTTCACAAAAACTTCTCTGGGCGTGGTCGGCACGCCTCTGGTCCCAGCTATTGGGGAGGCTGAGGTGGGAGGATCGCTCCAGCAGCGGGGCGGAGGTTTCAGTGAGCCGAGATTGCGCCGCTGCACTCCAGCCTGGGCAACAGTGAGATTCTGTCTTTAAAAAGACGAAGAAAAAGAAAAGAAAAGGAAGAAAGAAAAATAGAGTTCAGAAATCGCTGGCCAGGAGCAATAGCTCACGCCTGTAATCCCGGCACTTTAGGAGACCGAGATGGGCGGATCGCTTTAGTACAGAAGTTCCAGACCAGCCTGGGCAACATGATAATGTCATTATATTTGCTTTATAGGGTGGCTGAAACAATATGTATTGTCTCACAGATCCGGAGGCTTTGGGTCGATTCCGGACTCTGATGATAATCTGTCCCATGCCTGTCTTCCTGGCTTCTGGTAGACTCGGGCATTCCTTAGCTTGTAAATGGCTGCTGCTTGTGTCATCACATTGTCTTCCCTCTCTACTTATCTGTCCCCATGCCCCAATTTTTCCTTTTCAGGACGCCAGTCAGATTAGATTAGGACCCACCTAATGATCTCATCTTAACTTGATGAACTACAAGGACCCTATTTTTAAGTAAGTCCACATTTACAGGGACTAGGGGGGCACGACTTCAGCATTTTGTTGGAGGGATGCAGTTCAACCCATAACAAGAATCATTGTTAGAAATTGATGATTTTGCGTCTTCACTGAAAAGTTAATACCATTCCCTAGAGAACTGACTTGCTGCACATAGAAATCGGTCACAAAATCTTGTTTTAGAATGCTACATACCTATCAAAAATATGAATTATTTTCAACGTCAAACGTTAATAAAGCGGGACACGGTGGCTTACGCCTCTAATCCCAGAACTTTGGGCGGTGGAGGCGGAGGTTGCAGTGAGCCGACATCACGCCACTGCGCTCCAGCCTGGGAGACAGAGAAAGACTACAGTCTCAAAAAAAAAAAAAGTTAATAAAGCAAGCACTGTCAGCCAAATTTTAAGGTATCTACTGAGCATTCCCTTGCGTACAGAAGAGGAAAATGAAAAATGAACAGGAAGTTTAACATTCATAAAAATTGTTGGCCGGGCGGGGCGGCTCACTCCTGTAATCTCAGCACTTTGGAGACTGAGGTGGGCAGATCACCTGAAGTCAGGAGTTTGAGACCGGCCTGGCCAACATGGTGAAAACCTGTCACTACTAAAAATACAAAAATTAGCCGGGCATGGTGGCAGACACCTGTAGTCCCAACTACTCTGGAGGCTGCGGCGGGAGAATCGCTTGAACCCGGGAGGTGGGGGTTGCAATGAGCAGAGACTGTGCCACAGCACTCCAGCGTGGGCGACAGAGCAAGACTCCATCTCAAAAAATAATAATTCATGAAAATTGTGACAAACTTGTGTTTGCCTATTGAACTGGCAAAAATCCTAAAGTTTGACTACACACTGTTGGTGAGGCTATAGGTAGACCCATACTTTGATACATTGCTGGTGGGAGTACCAAGGGGGCACAGCATTTAGAGAGGGAAATTTGGTGAAATCGCTCAAAATTTTAAATATACTCTGTGACCTAGCAATCTCTTTCCTGGGAAATTATCCTACAGATATAAGTGCATCTTACACACATGCAGCAAACGATGTGTATATGTGGATTGATTTTTGTAATAGCAAAGGAATGGAAATAACCTGAGTGTCCACGTGTAAGGGCTGAGTAAATAAACAATGGTACATTGAGATGTAAAATTCCTCTGTGTATTTATATGGGAAGAGCTCCACAACACATTGTTAAGTACAGAGAGCTGCATGCCAAACATCACGTATGCTGCGTTTTGTGGAGAAAGGAAGGAGATAATGAGAATATGTATGTTATACTTATTTATATACTTATATAATATATTTAAATACAGAAACACTCAGAAGGATGTATAAAAAACTAAACGATTGCCTATTGGGAGCAGATAAAGAGATCAGAATGGATGAAAATAGGGGTGGGAGCAGGATTTAATGTATATTATATAGTTTTGATTTTTGAACTATGTGAATGTACATTTTAAAAATTTAGTAAGAACAATAAGGTATGGAAAACTATTGATGTACTTCTATGAAAAATGCTTTTAAAATCCTGTATTTTGAAAACTCAATTGCTAAAACAGATAACCTCAAAAAAATGGATAGATGAAGCAAATATGGCAAAATCTTGATAACTATTATCTGGGTAATGGATATATGGCAGTTTATTGTGCTAGCCTCTCTAGTTTTATCTGTGTTTGCACATTTTCACATTTTAAATGCTCTCTCAATCATCAAAATTTATGAAATTTCATAAGAGGTATTTTTAAAGTGTTATTTTATAATTGTTAATGGCTAAACACTCTAGGCTCTGGGGAGAATCTATGTAATTCAGAGCTTTAAGGTAGGTGCTAGAAATAGCCAGTAAAGCCTCCTGTGAATAGTCTTGCCAAGTATGTGGACCACGAAAAGAATAATCCTTGGCAGAATGGCTATTTATTATTACAGTTCAGTCATACATGGATCTACAGCTTTTTAAAATCAAACTTCTTTATCTACCTCCAATGTCTGAAAGAATCATTATTGTTCATTTTTTAATTTTTATTTTAAAATTTCAAAGCTATATTTTAAATTATTAGAGCTATGGTGTGAAGGTTTTTATCTTGCACCACTATCAGTTAAAAAAAAATATTATGCACACATCTCTGTACAGAAGATAAAAAAATCTTATCTTTCCATTCTTCTTAGGTTGATTAGCCAGGACCGTGTAAATTAGACTAACAAATAATGCAAGAGTCTTCATAAGATAATGAAGAACTGGTTAAATAGTTTCATCTAAGTGTTTTTACACTAGGTTTGATGAAGAGTGGAGAGTCTTGGGAAAATGTGATAGGACAAAAAGATCTGAGCTAACAGTGGTAAACTGGGAGAAATTTAGTGTGTTCTCTTTGTTTGGATTCCCCTCAGCATTATTCCATCTTCAGAGATAAAGATGCCCCTTTCCTCCAAGTATAGGAAGGGCACTTCTCATATGAGGGTCTTATGACCTGCTTCAGGGAAGCAGGGCAAGGTCAGAGAGTCCTAACATCTGCATTTCTCAAATTCCTTCAACTTAAAATATTCAATTGCACCAATGTACCATACTTTAGGGTAGAATGCTCTGAACTCCATCACCTCCAATTAAGTATATTTATTTATAGATTGTATGCTTGTGTACTATAGTACATTATATAATTCAAAATGTACAAGTAGAAATTTAAAAGAATGAGATTTTTAAAAATTGTAGTTACACATTTCCCATTCCTCATTGGATAATCTTGTATGCTTATCCCACTTGGAGGCTTTGGGCATCCTTTCATTGTGGCCACGAACATAGGCTGGAGGTCAGGGATGGTGAGCAGCCCTAATCCTACTCTGCTAATGCTTAAGGCATGATCAGAACAGAAAGAGTGCAAATTAGTAAGATATTTATCCCTACTTCTGGAAAATTAAGATCTAAGACAATGTAGGTGCATTAGTATCATTTTGTATATTACAGTATAATAATAATTTAGCCCCATGAGGGCAGGTGTTTTCCTTATTTTCTCTGGCATATGTACACAATAAATAGTTGTAGAATATTTGCACTGCTTTCATCTCATTGTCTCAAGCCTTCAAGACGTAAAATGATTTATTAGCCCCATTCTATAGATGTGAAAACTGGTATCTTAAGTGAGATAGGTGGGCTTTTAAGTAAAAGAACGAGTGTTCAGATTTAGATGACCTGATGCTTAATGCAGTATTCTCTGTGGGCTTCTTCAGTCTGACATATTTTTGTTTCAGATTTTTAATTCACAAGTGAGGGAACATCTTAACAATGATTTTTTCATATATACCTATAAAATATTTACATATTCTTACAGCTAGATCCAGTGGCTCACACCCATAAATCCCAATACTTTGGGAATCCAAGGCGAGTGGATCACCTGAGGTCAAGAGTTCAAGACAAGCCTGGCCAACATGGTGAAACCCTGTCTCTACTGAAAAAAATAAAATTAGCCAGACGTGAGTTCAAGACCAGTCCAGCCAACATAGTGAAACCCCGTCTCTACAAAAAAAAAAAAAAAAAAATTAGCCAGGCATGGCGACTGGTGCCTATAATCCCAGCTACTCGGGAGGCTGATGCAGGAGAATCACTTGAACCCAGGAGGCGGAGGTTGCAGTGAGCCAAGATTGTGCTATTGCCAGGCTGGAGAGCCTGGGCAATAAGAGCAAAACGCTATCTCAAAAAAAAAAAAAAAAAATTACATATTCTTCCTCCATTCCATAGGCCTCTTAAACCCTCAAATTTTAATCTTAACTTTGCTTGCAATACCTTGTCCTTTATTCCTATAACTGGATAAAATTTTAAAGTTTAAAGTATATTATTTAAACTTTTCATTAATTTCATAATTAAATAATTCTAACACTTATTAAATGATTTATTTAAATTAGTGCTCTCACGGCCCTTTTCTATTTTAAAAACATTTCATCCTGGCCAGGTGCAGTGGCTCACACATGTAATCCCAGCACTCTGGGAGGCCAAGGTAGGAAGATCAATTGAGGCCAGGAGTTTGGGATCAGCCTGGGTAACGTAGTGAGACTCCCATGTCTACAAAAAAAAAGTTTTAATTAGCTTGGTGAGGTGGTGCACACATACATCCCTAGCAACTTGAGAGGCTGAGGCAGGAGGGTTGCTTGAGCTCAGAAGTTAAGGCTGCAGTGAGCTAGGCATGTGCCACTGCCCTCCAGCCTCAGCAACAAACCAAAACCCTGTCTCTTAAGAAAAAAAAATATTCCATCATCAATCATTGACATCCAATTAAAAGAATGAGATTTTAAAAATAAAATTGTAATTATATGTTTTCCATTCCTCATTGGATTATCTTCTGTGCTCATCTCACTTCTTGGAGGCCTGTGGCTTTGCGTGTCCTGTCAATATGACCACAGATACAATCTGGATGCCAGGGATAGTGAGCATCCTTACTCCTCCTCTGCTATTGCTTATGAGCATATTGAGAACAGAAAGAGTATAGGGTGAAGTTATGGCATATTGATACAGACATTCTGCTGCCATAAAGAATAATTTAATAGAAGTAGAATTAAAATAATAATGTTGGGTCAGGCGTGGTGACTCATGCCTGTAATCCCAGAACTTTAGGAGGCTGTAGTGGGCAAATCACGAGGTCAAGAGATTGAGACCATCCTGTCCAACATGGTGAAAACCCGTCTCTTCTAAAAATACAAAAATTAACTGGGTGTGGTGGCATGTGCCTGTATCCGCTGCTACTGGGGAGGCTGAGGCAGGAGAATCGCTTGAGCCCAGGAGGTAGAGGTTGCAGTGAGCCAAGATTGTGCCTCTGCACTCCAGCCTGGTGATAGAGCAAGACTACGTCTCAAATAATAATAATGATGTCACTAATAATATCAAACATATAATTCCTATCTAAAGTCTGATACAAGTGCTTTACATATGTACTTTTATTTAATGATCACAACAAACATCTTGGTACAACTGCTAAATTTTTCTACAGGGGAGGTTTTTCCAAATTGTGTAGCTGGTAAGAGGCAGAAAGAAGCAAGGAATGATCATGATCTCAGGTTGTACTTCTTGATTTATTGCTTCTACTCAATGCTGACATTCTCGGGGCTTGATTCCCACACAGGAATTACAAATTTAAGAGT